GTGGGCTCTTTCTGTATTATGGTCTCTGTTTCTTTTGAAGTGCAGAAACTTCTTAGTTTGATGAGATACCATCTCACACCACAGAGACTGGCACACATTCAAAAGAACAAAAGCAACCAGTGCTGGCATGGATGGGGGGGGAAAGGGACACTCTTTCATTGTTGGTGGGAATGCCCACTAGTCCAGCCTTTCTGGAAAACAATACGGACAGTCCTTCAAAAACTAGAAATTGAGCTTCCATAATACCACTTCTGGGAATATATCCCGAGGATGCAAGAGAGCATAGTAGAAATGACATCTGTACTTATATGTTCATTGCAGCACTGTTCACAATAGCCAAAATCTGGAAACAACCCAAGTGCCCTAGAACAGATGACTGGTTAAAGAAACTTTGGTACATCTACACAATGGAATACTATGCAGCTGTCAGGAGAGGTGAAGTCATGAACTTTGCTTATAAATGGATAGAGTGGAGAGTATCATGCTAAGTGTAATGAGTCAGAAAGAGAGGGACAGACATAGAAGGAATGCACTCATTTGTGGAGTATAAAATAATATAACATGAGGCTGACTCCTAAGGACAGTAGATACATGGGACAGATAGATTGCTCCATGGCTGGAAGCCTGCCTCATGAGCAAAGGGGAAAAGGCAGCTGGACTAGAGAAGGGATCACTAGGAAAATGATGGCTGGAGGAATCGGTCGGGATGGGAGATATGTGCAGAAAGTAGATAAAGGACCAAACATGATAACCTCTCAGAGTCTGTATTGCAAACCATGATGCCCCAAAGTAGAGAAAGATTATGGGGGAATATTGTCTTCCATGGAGGCAGAGGGAAGGTGGGAAAGGGGGCGTATACTGGGGATATTGGTGGTGGGGAATGTGCACTGGTGAAGGGGCGGGTGTTTGATCATTGTGTGATTGTAACCAAACATGAAAGCTTGTAACTGATCTCACGGTGATTCAATAAAATTTTTTTTAAAAAAAGGAGGTGCTAAGGGCAAGATCACACTGGAGAGCAATGAGCACTAAGGCACAGGCCTGAAAGTGATGGAGTGATGGAAAGAACATTCTAGAACAGAGGGGCCGATGGAGGTGGGGAATGCTTGTGATGTAGCTCCCAGGGAGCTTTGAATGTCTGAACAATCTCGAGAATGTCCTGTCCTGGGCTCTGTGGCCTGTCATAGGGCCAGCCTGGGGCCTGCCGCCTGGGAGCTCTCTCTCCTCGCTCTCCTTCTCTCTATCTCTGCCTCTCTCCTCCTCTCCTGTCTCCCTCCCTCCTTCCTCTCTCAGCCCCCCTCTCTAGCGCAGATTCCTCATTAGGTTTCCAGTTGATCCTGCTGGTGCCCCGCCACACACACGTGGGTGCACGCATACACACACAAACACGCGTGCACATACACACATACGCACACACAAGCACACTCACACACAAACATGCAGTGCAGACACAGACACACAGACACGCGTGTGTGTGCACGTGCGTGCGCACACACACACACACACACACTCACATGCATGCCCTGGGCCACAGGCTCTGTCTCTAGGTATAATGCCTGCATTATGCCACCTCTCCCTGGGTCCACCTTCTCGGAAGCCCTGGGCAGCCGGGAGCCACCCTCCACCCCTTGCCTCACCGCCTTCCTTTCCCTTTAATTTACTCCCCGTGTTCCTGCCAAAATCATTTTCTCCTATAATCACCCCGGCTGGCTGGCTCCCTCTCACCCAACCGGGCCCCCAGTCTGGCCCTTGCTGAGGCAGCTGAGATCTGGCCCTCGAGCTGTGGGTCCTCAGCCTGAAACGGGACCCAGGGCCAACACTGCAGCAGCGCCCCGCCCTGCCACAGCCAAGACGTGAGGCCCAGAGAGGCCCGGAGAGGCAGGGCAGTTGTAAAGACCGTTTCTCTCTCCCTCTCTCCCAAATAGAGGTTCAGAGGTCTCGGCTGAGAAAGGGTAAAGCCAAGGCACAACCTGCCCCCCACCCCCCAATGCTCATGACCTCTGGAACCTCCTCAGGAGCCCTGCAGGAGGCCCCCACGTGCGTCTCTGGCACACTCGGGGCTCGGGGTCAGTCCCTGGGACGGCCTGCGCTGCGCAGGCCCCAAACCACATACTCAAACTAGACCCGGAGCCACAGCTGTTCCCACCTGCGCTTCCCTCCCAGAGAGGAAGGAGGCTTGAGTATAAGGAGCCCGAGGTGCTCTCGGAGGGCTGCCCCCATCGGCCCCCACCCCACGTCAGTAACCAACCCGGCTCCACATCCAACGGCACAGGAGAACCATTTCCTAGGCTTGAGGGTCAGAGCGAGACCTAAAGGGGAGAAAATGAGGATACGAAGAGACTCTGATGCTTGTTCACTCAGAGGCCCACTGGGTTTCCCAGCATTCTCACAAATGCGCACGCATACACACCACACACACACCACACACACACACACACACACACACACACACACACACACCGCCCCCCTGCCCTACTTCTACAAGCTTCTCTCTGGCCCTTGCCTCCTGATGCACGACTGATTCCGGTGTCCCCATTGTTGTTCCAATGGTCCCCCCCACACACACACACACACTCTTGATCACTTGATCACTTGACTTCCCGTTAATCATCGATTTGCTCAGGAGCCTGTAACGTCTCCATTTGTCCCTGTCGCGTGCTAGTGTAGCCCAATGGCGTCTGTTCATTCTAGGAACACGAAGAGCCTCAAACCGATTGTTCAGGATCTTGATGAAGAAGTCTGACCATCTGGTAGGTAGGCAGCCACGCGGTCTTTTGACGTCCCATGGAATCCAGTCGGTAACGGCTCTAGTCCAGCGGTCGTCTCCAAATCTCCACGCACAGTATTCCGCCCACACGGCAGAGCCTCGCAAGCTATCCGTTGTGTATTCGATATGCCAAAACCAGTAATTACAATGGGTCTCACACACACACTACTATCAAATTGGTGCCACCCCTCACCAAACAGCCCTTTTCTAGCACTGAGGGACATGCTCAAAGAGAGGAGAGCCAGACAGTTTGCCCTTTGCACTGATGATGATACGTGAGTTTCTTACTGTGAGGTCCGTGTCCTTCAACTTCGAGATTCATTCCCTCCCTCCCATCCCCCCCGCCTGCTTTCTGGCATCTAGACCCCAACGTGCTGTCAACATGTTTGTGAGATGAATGGATTTACAAGTCACTCAGGGATGCCTGACCATCATTTATCCCAACAACGTCAGCATTCACTGAACACTCACACTGACCCCCAACACGAGCTTCCCAGCATCAGACACTCACGTTGACCCCTAATAACGTAGCTCCTCAACACTGGGTATTCACCCTGACCCTCAACATTAGCTCCCTGATATTGGATACTCACGATGACCCCAACAACATCATATATCCAAGAATGGATACTCACGCTGACCCCCAACAATGTCAGCTTCCCAGCATCGAATACTCATGCCGACCCGCAAGAACATCAGCTTTCCAAAATCAAATACACATGCTCACCTCCAGTAAGGTCAGTTTCCCAGCACGGATCCTCGTTTGCTGCCCTGGGCCCCCTCAGCCCACATGTCTCAGAAGTTCATTCCTGCAACAAAGTGCAACTCCCTGCACCCCACCACCAAACCGGTCCTTTTCTAGCACCATGGGTCATTTGTTGGCCACTTGGCCTCAAACACTGAGGCAGCAACACCAACAGCAGCTGGGCCGTGCGGTGGCCGTGGGACCAGCATGCTCAGCCTTGATTTTGTACTCTGAACCTGGGTACCCAGGTGGGTGTGAGTAGTGAACCCCACTGTGGGAAGTGCTCCCTGGGTGAGGGACACCATCCTCTGAGGATGCATGCTGCCCCGCCACCAGCCCAGCCTGGAGCTCCTGTCCCGAAGGACCCCCCCTTCCCAAGCTTAGTTGACCATTAGCCTTTCCTTTGGGGAGCCCAACTTTGCAGGGACACAACGTGTCTTAACAGGAATAAACACAACCTGGAAAGAAACAGATTCCCTGGGCCCTTTCTCAGAAAGAGGTCCATGAGCCCTTCTGGTGCTTTGGAACTATCCTGCCTGACTCCCTGGCCTCACCCCTGCCTCATATCTCGTACCCCATGCATCACTTCAAAGAGAGAGGAGCCCAGGTAGGGGCTGGGGTTCTTATTACAGGATGCCAACTTGGGGGGCAGGGCAGAGCTGGAACATACAGGCTCTTTCAGTCAGGCCCTGGGGCTGGAGGCGTCCATCCCAGCTCCTTCCCTGGGCTCCTGGGCATTAGCTCCCCTGAGCCCCCCTTCCTGTGCCCCCACCCCCATGGAATCCCCAAAGCTTTTCTCCTCAGACCCCCCTCTTTTTTATTTTTGCTTTTTGGGTCATACCCGGCAATGCACTGGGGTTACTCCTGACTTTGCACTCAGGAATTACTCCTGGCGGTGCTGTGGGGACCATACGGGATGCTGGGAATCGAACCCAGGTCAGCCGCATGCAAGGCACCCTACTCGCTTTATTGTTGCTCCAGCCCCTTCCCAGAGCCCCTTGTCCGACCACCCCGATCTCCAATATTCGCAACAAGAATCCCTCTCACAGAAGGCTGTGCTCAGAGGTGGGGGCTTTATTTTCAGCTGCCAATTGGGGGAAAAGAATGCATATGAAATATTTCCTGATAAACAACGAAAGTTTCAAAAACATAGGAACAGTCTGACAAGTAGAAAGGAAATGAGTCCCTGTGTTCCCCACTCGCCCCCCTCACCCATGCCAGGAAGATATTGGTGCTGATGGTGGAGAAATAGGAGCTGGCCCCTTCCAGGACCATGCAATGGCCAGCCTGGCCCTCAGCACCGTCACGCAACAGCCTCACGGGACTGGACTGGCTTGCACGCCCGGGATTCCTGGCAGCTCCTCGGGGCTGCTGTCTCCAGGACACGCGCACACACCATCCTGCTCCAGCCCCCAGGGGCAGTGGGGGGCTGACCATGGACCTGGCCCTTCCTTCCCGGAAGCCTTTCCTGCCCTGGGTGTCACTGACCTGCTAATGGCCTCGGTCAGGTGCTTCGTGCAGCCGCTGCAGGGGGAACTTCCTATCTGGAAACTTGGGATCTGAGAGTGACATCATCACAAAACGGGTCAACAGCAAAGTCGCTGTCCTTCCCTGTCCTTCTCCAAGGACCTGTCTGGGACCTCAGAGAGGAGGTTTCAGAATTAAAACAGGCACAGTGGTCACTTGGGTAAAGGGACTTAATTTTATTTTTCTCTTTTTAAAATTGAGTTCTGTGACATTACTGCTAATGATGCTTCCTCCTCCTCCTCCTCCTCCTCCTCCTCCTTACACACAGTTCCAACATCACACCCATCACCACTGTATCCTCCTCCCTCCCCCAAGGACCTCAATGCCCTTTCCAACCCACCTCAACTCAATTGTGTGGGTCAGTTCTCCCATTATGTTGTTTTTGCCTTTTTGTTGCTTACCTTGCTGTGTATCCTTAAGTCCCACAGATAAGACAGATTATTCTGTATCTATTCTTTTCCTTCTCACTTCCTTCTCTAGTTGGGTGATGGGATTTTAAAAGGCTGGATCAAATCAAATGCAAATTGGACCCAATGCTGAAAGAATACAGTAAGGGGCTAGAGAGAGAGAGAGAGCTCTGGCAGCTGAGTGCGTGCCAGGGGGTTCGGGTTCTACCTTAGCACCAGAAATGACCTCGGATCACTGAAGTGGGAGTAGCTCTTGGGCACTGCCAGGTGTGGCACCCCAAACACCATTCTCATAGGAAGAAGAAGAAAAAAGAGAAGGAAGAGGAGGAAAAGGAGGAGGAGGAGAAGGAGGAGGAGGAGGAGGAGAAAGGGAAGAAGGAGAAGGAAGATGAAGACAATAAGAAGGAGGAGGAGGAGAAGGAGGAGAAGGAAGATGAAGACAAGAAGAAGAAGAAGAAGAAGAAGAAGAAGAAGAAGAAGAAGAAGAAGAAGAAGAAGAAGAAGAAGAAGAGGAAGAAGAAGAAGGAGGAGGAGGAAAAGAAGAAGAGAAGAAAAAGATGAAGACGACAAAGAAGAAGAAGAAGAAGAAGAAGAAGAAGAAGAAGAAGAAGAAGAAGAAGAAGAAGAAGAGGAAGAGGAGGAGGAGGAGAAGGAAGATGAAGACAAAAAGGAAGAAGAAGGAGGAGGAGGAGGAGAAAGAGAAGGAAGAAAAGGAGGAGGAGGAGGAGGAGGAGGAAGAAGAAGAAGAAGAAGAAGAAGAAGAAGAAGAAGAAGAAGAAGAAGAAGAAGAAGAAGAAGAAGAAGAAGAAGAAGAACAGGAAGAGGAAGAAGAGGAGGAGGAGGAAGGAGGAGGAAAAGCATGGTCCCTTCCCTGAATAAAATTGAAAGTTGGCTACTACTGCTCTTTGGGCCATTGAGTCATGCAACTGGCATCTTCTTCAGCACTTTCCCCTGGGGTGCAGCCTAGTCCTCATGGCACAAAAGGGCTGCTGCTGGCACTGGGCCATTGTGCTAAAGTGCCAGCCATATGGGAGGAGCAGGAGACTGAAAGAAATGCTTCCTTCTTAAGGAATGCTGACTCTATGAAGAGGTACTGACACCCTCAATTCCACCCCCTGACCAGACATGGACATGCTGTGTCATGCCAGGGCCTTTATGGAAGGGGACCCATGTGCCCACACAGGGGCTTTTTTTGTTCTTTTTTTTTTTTCAGGTTTTTGGGTCACACCCAGTGATGCTCACGGATTACTCCTAGTTCTGTGCTTAGGAATCACTCCTGGCGAGCTCAGGGCTTTCTATGGAAAGAAAATGGAACAAGGAGTGCCCATCATATTCGCCTTGAAGCATTTCTGTCAGAGAGAGAACTGGCTGTGTTTGGGAGGGCAGTTGGCATCTGGATTGGCCAAGATGGGTCCCAGGACACCAGGTCTAATGCAGACAGCTGGACTGTGGGCTGTGCTAGTAAAGTGAATCAGAATCTCAGGTTGAAAGGCCCTGAGGATAGCTTCTTTCCAGCTGGCTGCCCCAGGGTCAGTGGCCAGTGACCTTCCTCCATGTGCCTGTCCCTCTTTGCCTCTAAAATTCACTGTCACTGTCCTCCCATTGTTCATTGATTTGCTCTAGCGGGCCCAGTAACGTCTCCATTGTGACAATTGTTACTGTGTTTGGCATATCAAATATGTCACGGGGAGCTTGCCAGGCTTTGCCGTGAGGGCAAGATACTCTTGGTAGCTTGCCCGGCTCTCCGAGAGGGGCAGAGGAATCAAACTCGGGTCGGCCATGTTGGCTGCTTGCAAGGCAAATGACCTACCTGCTGTGCTACTGCTCTGGCCCACCTCTAAAATAATTTTATCATTATTTGTCTGGGGCAATGTGGGTCCTTTTCTAACACTATGCACAAAAGTCACATCAAAATGGACTAAAGACCTTGACATCAGTCCTTTACCCATACATCACATTGACAAAAACAGGCCGAGTCCTCCAGGATGCGGAAGCCAGGGGCAGCTTCAATGATTCGCAACCATTGGTCAAGCTGGTCCCTCTTGGGACAGAGGCACTGAGGTTAGTCATCTCCTTCCAAGACAGTTTCCATGCCTGGGGCAGGGCAGCCATCCTTTTTCCGTTTAGTTTTGATTCATGCCCAGTGGTACTCAGGGAATGCTCTGGGCTCAGTGTGTGAAGCTTTCCTGATGGTGCTACTGGTTCCTCAGTTCTGGCATGAAACCCAGGCATCCTGTGTGCAAAGCTGGCAGCAGTGCATGGAGTCACTCCCTGCCCTCAGGTCTGCTCATGACACCTGCCCAGAAAAACCAGCAATCGTGTCCCCAACAGAGCATGGGTCTGTGCTGAGTGGGGAGCACTTGGGGATCACTTTAGTGAGGTTCCCTGATTGTGCACATTGTGCTGGAGGGCAGGGAAGTGTGCCCTGTGTATGCCCAGCATGGGTCCCCAGAAAGGAGCGAGCAGGATGAGGAGTGGGGAGGTGGAGTCCAGGGAAGACAGGAATTGCGGTTCTCCTCCCAGAGCCGCAGCTTTTTACACCATCACCAACGTCCCCTTCTGGTGTCCCCTGAGTAGCCTGCATGAAAGCCCACCATGATGGCTCAGGAGCGAAGTGAAGCATGAAGGGGCAGGTGACCCTGTTCCCCAGGCTGGTACCACTATCCAGGGCACCCCAGATCATCCCTGGGTCCCCTGTTGCTGGAACAGTGGGGGGGGGGCCTGGCAACCCTGAAATGACATTCCCTGGTCTGACCCAACCAGTTAGCACACCATCCTGAGGACAAAGCCCAAGAGGGTGGCACACCCCCAGCTCATGAGAGGAGGGCTCCCTGTTGTTCTGGAGCTGGAGGCCAGACGGGGCCAGCGGCGGGGCAGACCACATTCCGCACAGCTGAGGCACCCCCCAGGGTCAGGGCCCCACCCTCACCCCAGCACCTTTTTCCATATTTACCACCAAGCATCTCTTCAAACAATCGAGAGGAAAGACTCCCAGCCCAGCTGTGCAGGATGCACGTGTCTGCGCCCTTTTCCAGGGAGGGGCGCTGTGCAGGAAGGAAGCCCGCCTCCCCTCAGGAAGCAATAATCTACACCGCAATTCCCCCGCCGCTCCTCTCTGCAGGTCCAGAGAGAGCTGCCTGCTCGCACGCATCCTTCCTCAGACCCCAGAACCAAAATAGCATCTGCAGATACTGGCCCCCTACCCCCACCACAGGACGGCTGCCTTTGATTGCAGTCAGATCCTGGGGAAGATTTAGGATCCCTCTCACCTTGGTGATGTTGGTGGGCCCCATTGGTGACTTATGTGAAGCAGGGAGGAGAAAGATGTCACTTTCTCCCGATCTGTCACCCCAGACCCAGGGTTACTGGGTTCTTGTCTCACCTCACAGAAAAGAATTTCAGGAGTACACGAAGCATTGAAGTAACACATTTTATTTGGAGGTTTTGAAGGGAAGGAGGAAGAGAAAGTGGGAGAAAGTGGAGAGTAACGTGCTCAAGAGAGAACCCAGGCTTCTCCAAGGGTGAAAAAGCCCCTACACACATCCCAGCATTAGACAGGAAAGCATGAAAGTACACATCTCAAGAGGGGAGATGCGGGCGACACATGTGCTCGGGCACCACATGTGCTCGGCCACATGAGTGCAAGCAGCACATGGGCTCAGGCAGAATATAAGCACCCTTCCTTTGTTCAAGGTGGTTTTTATAGAGTATCTTCTCGGGATAAAGGCCCTCCCGTTGATCGTCGATTTGCTCGAGCGGGCCCAGTAACGTCTCCATTGGAGACTTTGTTGTTACTGTGTCTGGCATATCGAGTACTCTCGGTAGCTTGCCGGGCTCTCCGAGAGGGGCGGAGGAATCGAACTCGGGTTGGCCATGTTGGCCGCTTGTAAGGCGAACGCCCTACCCGCTGTGCTATCGCTCCAGGGCCTTTACCTTCTCGGGATGTCTTGGTCTGGAATGTTCTGAAGTCTTCTCTGGGTTAAATCACTACAGTTAATTGGATAAGGGAGAGGTCCGAAGGTATCTCTCGAGAAATTTTCTTCATGGGGAGGGGCCCAATCTCCTCAGGGTCCATTACTGGCGCAAGGTGAGGGTCTTATCAGGCTTTAGTTCCCGTTTTCTGCAAGGTTGGCTTTCACAACTTCAGAGCCATTACTTCCTAGGAAATTTACTGCCATGGCCTGGGGGTGGTACCTTACCTTAACTGTCTGCCTGCCTATATCATTAGGACCCCCTCTCTTCCAGTCGGACTTATACGGCTCATCCCAAGCAGTTTGGCAGATCTCCTCCTCTCACCGAGTGCCCCTGTGCCACCCCTCTGGAAGCCCCTAGGCTCAGGTAGGAGAGAGACAAACAAAGGTTCCTCCCTAAACTTCCAGGAGCTTCCTGTGATCTCTGAACTGAAGGAAGAAACACAGCATCTCCGGGACAATGACTCCACATCAAAATCTTGATTCTCCAGCATGGGGACCAGCCCACCAGGGCCAAGGGTAGGTAGCACTTACCCACACTTCCTTTACGAGAGCTACTGAGTGGCACCGTGGCAGCACAGGGAGCACATGCGGGTCTCATTCTGATGGGCATCTGGCGCTGGACCTCGCCCACCATCAGCAGGACCAGGCAGACACTTTGGGAGAACAGGGTCAGGGTACCCATGGCCGGTGGCTCCGAGTTGGCTCAGCCCAGAGCTACTGACCCAGCCGGACTCAGTAGAGCCATGGAGCTGGCCTTTGCTGCTGGCGGCCACTACAACCCTGTCTGCTGCCTGCTGCCTGGCCCAGCACCTTCTTTGGCCTCTTCCCTCTGACATGCTGCTTACCACCTTCCCCGAGTGTCAGGAATCTAAGGAGAAATCGCTTCCCGGCAGTGACTGGGATCCTCTGAATCCCATGAGATTGGGAATTGGGATGTTTTCATGCCCAAAGATGCTGATAAAGAGATTGGGATGTAGCTTGGATGCCAAATCTACCATTTCCATCAAATACATCACACTGGGGGCCCTAACACAGACGTCTCTTTTCCAGTTGCCATTTTGGGGTATCCACTCTCCTTGCAGCCACAGAGATCCTCGACCCCTCTAGACGGAGTTCCTGTGCCAGGAAGTGATAGGTGGCAGAAGAGCAGATGGAGACCAGACGGGAGGGCGAGGCCCTTCGAGTGCATCCACACGGGAGGAAGCAAGGCAGGAGACCCTGCATGTGGCAACTGGGAGGGCTCCCCAGGAGACTGTAGAGGGAGGCAGCCTGACACCTGAGCGTGATGGGGAGCAAGGCAGGAACACTGCACTGGTGTAGCTGGTACTGAAACTCTAGCCCGGAAGGCTACCTGATTGCGGTTAGGGAATCCGGTAAGATGAAAGACAGTAACTGTGTCATCAAAAAATGAATTCGAAACCATGGCACACTCTCGCTGCCTGTGTTCGGTGGTTTTGGGCTGCTTCCCCCACCTGGGTCGGCCGATGGCAATGGGTGGACGGAGGAAACAAGAACCAGACTGGTTGGTGATCAGTTGCAGTTTATTCCAGTCTCTTCTCTATTTCTCTCTCGATTCTCCATGCTATTCTCCCCACACTCCCTCTAACAGCCTTGGTCACCCAACTTCCAAGCACTGGGCGTAGCAACTTTAACTAAGTGAGATAGCACAATCAACATATGAAAGCCCTCCCCTCAAGGGAAGACAAAGATCTCCTGCAGCCAGGAGATATGCTCAGGGGTGAAATACCACCTAGGGGTGTGTTTCTCCTTTCCTCAGTCCAACAACCATCTTAGATTTACGTACTTCTAAATAATCGTTCTAGTCATTTTGTATGGACACAGTCAGAGATACATTCAGCTTGTAGGGTGGGTCTCCTGGGGACATCTTGCTATGGATCCCAGACTACAGTGCTCAGGCCAGATTAGTTTTTCCTAGTCCTAGTAGGGTCCCTAATCCAGTTGTTACTCTTTGGATCATGACAGAATTTGTCCATGACAGTGCTCCTAACCTATAGTTAAGTATTATGGTGCTTGCCCTGGCCCATTTCAATGTCAGGGTAGCTCACAGCTTGCCTTAGCCTGGGTCCATCCAGTTCCTCGTCCAGGACCCTGCTTTTTGGGTGCTAGGAACTAAGGGCAACTGAGCCTTAAGTAGAAAAAACAGATGCCTAGAAGTGAATATTATTTGGAGTCAATTAATTCCCAAGTTACAAAAGCATAGAATTAACTGTCTTCCTGTGTCCATACAAAAAAGGGCATTGCTCTAAAGCAACTATGCAAAGGACATAAGGAGAAGAGAAAAGCAATATTTCGCTTATAAATACAAATCCAGTGTCCTTAGAAGGATCTGATGTTACAAGTCAACAGGGTCTGATTTAGGGATAAAGGTGATTGACCAGTTGGGGAAGCAGAGCACAGAGAAGAGGTTAAAGATAAACAGAGGAATGGGAGTGCTTCAGGAGCACTGTGATGAGTGCAGTCCAACAAACCCAAGCTCCCTGTGGCCAGGCAGAAAGGACAAACCGATATTATCCTCCAAGTAACTCCTACCCTGTTAGCAAGAACAGCTCTGCAGAGGCAGTAAATATGCTACAATGGAATTTTCAAAGAATGGCCAAGCAGAGACACACACGCACCCCTTGGTTCCTGCTCAGCTCTTGCCTTCTGGGAAGCAAACAGAGCTTCAGAGCCTTCACAGAAGAAGTATATGGAAAACACATCATCATTCAGAAGGCCAAATAACCTTGACGACCTCCAGGCCCCATCCTGTTTATCCAAAGAGCTACCTCCTCTTTTCCAATAAATAAACGAAATAGAAGTTTCCAGCCCTCCTCCTACTCAGCCTCTGGGACAAAGGCAGACCGACCTAAGTGCTGCTCCAGCCCTCCTTGGGCTGTGGGTCGCAGGAAAAAGTCTTCACTTCTTGCCAAAGCTGAGTGAGGGTGGATTGCTGAGTCCCCAGGTGGCCTGTCCTGGGGGTGGCCCACTAAGATTGCCCTGCTGTACGCACCCTGCAATTTCTGCACACACACAAATCCAAGGAAGAGAGAAGAATGCAGATGAGCCAGGGAATTCCTGTAACACAGCTGGGCCCCGGGTCCTTGAATGCCTCCCAGTGTGGGCTCAGTTCCCTGGAGGGGAGGCATGTGGCCACTGAGGTTGTGGCCAGAGTTCTCAGGGGCATCTGGGTGAACCAACCCAGTTTCTCCAGACTGCATGGACATGAAGGTGCTCATAGCTCAGGCCATTAGCAAGCGAATCTCCTCCCCTCTTCAGACTCACGTGAGTCTACCCACAGGGTCTCATGTGGGAAGCACCTCATGTCCTGTTGATAGTCCCTACTTGTCCAGGAAAGCCAGCGCTCCAGGGCTGTCCCCAATGGACTGCCCCCCCCACCCCCCTCACTCAGACCAGGGAAGCTGTACCTCACATTTTGGGCTCACCCCGACCTCCTTAGAAGACAGTGATGGCAACCACCACCGGGTTAAATCACTACCCAGTTAAATATTCTGGAGTTTCTGAAATGTGGGCTGCATTTGCAACCCCAGGACACTTTTGAACTCTACAATACTGATATTTCAGTAGGAGCACACCGAGTTAGATGGGAAAGTAATAGAAGCCAACGAAGCACATAAAAGTAGCTTAAAAGGAAAATGAGAGAGAGAAAAGGAGAGGGAGATAAAAAGAGAAAGAGAAAGAGAGAGAGAGAGAGAAAGAGATAGAGAAGAAAAGTGTTACTGCTGCAGGGGTGAGGTGGGGGGAGGCAGGATGGAGGGAAATTGAGAAATGTGCATTAGTAAAGGGATGGGTGTGGGAACATTCTATGACTGAAAATCATGAGCAACTTTGTAACTATATCTTATGGTGATTCAATTCAAAATGAAAAAAATAATAAAAATAAAAAAAAAACATTAACACAGAAGACTCCACCAGCAACAACAGCTTAGTAAACCCTCAGACAAGGACTTAATGTTTCCATGATCAGAGATATAACAGTTTTCACAATTTTTTTTAACTAAAGTACTTTTTGATGATTGCATTAGCCATTTAGTGGTAACAAGAAATGCAAAATAAATTATGTTGTGCCTGCTAAAAGGGTGGGGGAAATGGGGACAATGGTGGAAGGGAGGTCACAGTGGCGGTGGGATCCCTGCTGGAATCTTAAATGCCTGTAGCAGAAGCATCACGAACAACCTTATAAACGACAGTGTTTAAATAAATGGGGGTGGAGAATAAAGATACATTAAAAAAAAAGAGAGAGCAGTGGTGTATTCATGGCGTGGAGAAGGGGCTTCCCTGACCTGACAGGAGGCACCTGA